AATGTGACTGTATTTCACAAAATACTAGTCTACTAAAACACAGCCAAGACAGGTCACTTTATAAAAACTAAAGGTCAGTTTTATATTTTTGAATATTGTAACATGAGTGCACGTGTGCCACATCATTGTTAGCCAGGCATGGCTAAAAGGTCAATATAATAAGAATAAATATAAATGTATAATGTTATGAGATTTAAGCTATTTAATCTAAACATTTAGGTTTTTGTGTTATAATTTGTTGTCATTCTAGAATGAAAGAGGCATAATTTACATTTATTTCCTAATTTTTTATGGTGGTTACGAGATCGTTCAAATCTACCAAACTTGTACACAGATTAATTACTGAAAATAACAAATAAAATATAAAGTTTTTCTTAAGAAACATTAGGTAAATATCTGAACATTATAAGGATTTCACATGTGAAATTTAAAAATGTTCCTACACATAAAAGTATTTTTAATCTTAAAATTTAAATTACTTTGCATGTTGGATAGGCAACATGCGGAAAAAAAAAGCCTGAGAAAAATATTGCTTTATAAATTTAAGACTTAATAAAAAAAATTATACTTTGCATATTAAAGCATTGTAATGTTTACTGATAATCTTCTAAAGTTATAGAATGAAAACTATAAAAAGCACAAAATGGTTATGAGGTCAGTCCCAGGGCCCAAGCCCATGCTGAAAGAGTTAAAAAGAACAGGTTTAAAAATTTTCTTTAATAAAGATTCTGATCACTGATATATGTATGTGTACTGATGTATGTTGTAAAATGATGTGCAATTACAATATTGGAAGTAATTTTCGAAATGCATAAGTGATTTACCCATGTACAGGGAGTCACAAAAATGATTAATTGCAAGTACATTGTCAATTTAGCATTTGTACAATACCAGGGCATCAAGTACTATATTTTCTTATTTATTCATATATGTCACAGAAATACCTATTTTTTTCCTATATTTACAAAATTGGGTAAGCAAGAAATACAAATATCCAATGAAAAGTGGGATACTTAATCTAAACATTTTGCAGAAACAAATGTTACAAAATTATGTATTTTAAAAATGTTATATTTCTGCACTTTTACTTGATATTGTAGTATTTCTTTCAGGTGTGACACCCCTTCCCATCCCAGCCACTAACAGTGTCAGTTGTTGGCTATACTACTAGATCCATTCGGATCAAGGTAACCATTGTTCTCACCTTTGGAATCAAGTTTTTTGGCAGAAAAACAAGAAACGTGATTTTGATAATAAATTCATCAGTATGGAGAAATGCAGTATGAAGTACTGTTGTGGTAATAACAGAAACATTTGTTGGTTTTCTAGGAAGGAAAGTTCAGAATATTTTTGTTGGGTAAATGTTAACTAGAACAATCCATTTAGATGTTTTTCGAAGAAATGTTGAAAAAGTATTAAAATATCCAACAACTGAAACTGTTTTAGAACATTTTCATAGCAATCTAACATTTTAATATTTATTTCAAGTTAGAGTTTGCTAATTGTTAGTTATGCCAGGAGACCAGACATGGGGTATTTGTATTCGATTACAGCTTTGGGAGTATTTGTACTTGTATTTGAATATGATAGGGAAAATTAAAGTATTCATATTCGAAAATGTATGTACAGAAAACAACATAATATAATGCATCATTTGACAGATTAAAAACTTGGCTTTGTATTGGTTATAAATGATATAATATTGATATCTAGCCATCAATATTATAAGTTAATCATTCTTTAATGTATGTTGATTTTGTTACTGGGATTATAGATGTTCAACTTGGTTGTTGTCAGCTTCTATCTGCACTTTGCCTTAGTCGTGGAGTCCCATCACTATCGGGGTTTGTGGTGCACAAGGGTCAGGTACTGCAGTTCCAGGATTTTTCCTTTGGTCTTGCATAGGCTTGCATGGGCTCTGCTGTATTGTATGAGTTTTCTCATCCTTTCATTCTATCGTACTGTGCACACCCATTCCATGGACAACTGGTTACTGCTGGCAACATCTTGTCAATTGTTAGACCATCATCACATCCTGCTTCTGCTTTCAGATACAATGCAGGCAGGCATCTCTTTCAGGAATGCAACATCTATTCTTGCTCCAATTCAATATGTCATTAGTCTGGAAATTTTTTATTTTTGAGCTCTTCTCTCAGTCAGGCTCAGCTGTCTCCCATCCTACTCAATGCTATAGAATAGGATGCCACACTCTTACTCATCTCTCCTTCTCCCACTGCACGGATGATTTATTTTCTGGGAATTTGGGCATCACTCGAATCCTTCAAGCCTTTGGGACAAGAGCACAAGTGATACTGTTATTGGTCTTTAAGTGACCAGGGATCATACAC